CCTGAGGCCTTGCTCGAGAGCTACGTGGGACCTCAGCCCTTCACCCCAGCAGGAGCTGCGCCGCTGCCGGGCCTGGTGAACCTGATCCACCAAGAGGCTTCAGCTCGGCCCTGCCTCGTCACCGCAGACGTGCGGATGGTCACTCAGCTGTGGCTGTCGGTGGACCCGCTCTGCTCCTCTTGGTGGGACTGTGTCGTGTTGGGGAGGACATGGAGTGGTCTGGCCCAGTGGAGCAGCCCAGTCGCGGCCCTCAGGCCGAGGGGGACTGCCAGAGGGCTAAACATATTCCTTAGCTGCTGGGAGAAGAATGCGGAAAGGGAAAGCTAGAAGAGGCCGTGACTAGAGGAGTAAATTTCAGACAGCTTGTTTTCCATTTGTAATGAATCCTAAATACAGTAGTTTGCTCCATACACGGATCCTTAACCTCATAAACTAGAGTGTTTTGACTCATGTTAATTTTTGCCTGTTAATAAGCACGATTTCTGCTTGAAGGTGCCACTTGCCATTGATGGCACATATTGGCCTGCTGTAGTTAAGTGGCTGGTGCTGGACGGAGGGGACAGAAGCGCGTTCTGGTAGAGTCAGTGATCACTACAGGGAGAGGAGAAAGGGATGTCTCTAGACGTGCCTTCTGCAAGCACGCATGGTGTCTCTGTGTCCAAGCAAATCTGTGTGATCATGCTTGTGGCACGGATAAATAACGACAGTTGGAGCCATTAAAGTTGATAGTTACTTAATGCAAATCCATTCATTATTTTTTAATGTCCTTTCAGCTATGAGGGAATAAAATATACTTACAGTATCATGCTTGTGGGGTTGGAGAAACCCGACCTCAGCAGCTCTAATAATCTACCATATGGAAGAAAGGCGTTGGAGTGGTCTTTGGTATATACGGAAGTTCAATGAAGGATCTGGGTTGTCTATATGAAGTGCCGTAAGGCAGAGCTTTCTTCATGGAGGAAGGGAAATGCACATGTGGCCCAGAAATGGTAAAAAAAAAAAAAAAAAGGATGGGATGAATGGCTGAAAGATTTCTATTAATTGATAAGCTATTCATAGGAAAACAGTATGTGTGCTCAGGCATCTAAGAAAAAATTAAGATCATAGTAGCAATATCATGAAGGTTAGGATGAAAAAATCCTTTTATGGAAAGCAGTGACTAGAAAAGGTTTGGGAGCTCCTGTAAGAGTAGTTTGACAATGCTGTTGCCGAAAGAGCTAGTGTAGTTCTTGACAAAGTAAACAGGATTGGCTTCAAAAGGAAATAGAATATTTATTTGACATTGGCATGGTTTTAACTGGAAAATGCTCCAAGAAGAACACTGGGTGGAGAGGGTTTGGATAAAACATAAGCACGATCAAAGGAATGGAGAAATATGTCTTACAAGCATTATTTAAGCTCAATCCATTCAATATTAAAGAGAAAACTGTGGAGTGTCTCAATCAAGGAACATGCTGGAGGTGGCCAGGACTTTTTCCGTCTATATGACAAAGGTGCCAGAAGTGGAAGCTGGTGCTAATAAATTCTGAGATCTTGAATATTGTTTGATTATTAACTACTCTTTAGAACAATTACCCAAAGGCTAAAATGAGTTTCCTAATACAACAAATTAAACTAATGGTTATGTTTTAATTAAGAAAAAGAAGTTCTAATTGAAATAGCGACTACATCTTGGCTTGCATTACCTATTATTTGAGGGATCATAAAGAAACCCAAAAGTCTAATCCTTATCTCTCTGAATTTGTGAGGGGCTTATGTCTGAGTATGCACCTAGAGGACAAAGCTGTTGCTTTTATGTTTATTTTGTACCTCAAGTGTCCAAACAACTTTATTTAAGGTCTCCAGTTATCTATATAATAGAATATTGTTTCAGTACAGTTATAATTAAATTTTAAATGCTGAGATCTCTGAAACTCCATATTTCCAGGAAAATCATATTTACCTCAATGGTGTCAGCCTTTCACAATTGGACACAGTGAATCAAAATATTTCAAATCCTTATAAAACATACCAAAGCACTTGGAAAATAAGCTTGATTCAGCATGGAAATGATTTTTGCAAGGCTTGAAGGAAGGGCTGTAGGAATAGCCTCAACACTCTGTTGCTATTCTATTTTCTTTCTTTTTCTCATCAAATATACTTTTGTTCCCTCTGCTTCACAGATTTGCACTGTCATCTTTCCGATATATATCTTCGTCGCATTTGTATAAAATACATGGGTTCTGTATAAAAATAAAAATCTGCTTTTATGTGTCTTATATGTGTTTTATGTGTCCTCTTTGTGCTTTCAAAGCCATAATGCTTAAAGGCTCTCCTGTGCCCTTGTGCAGAGAAGGGACAAGAAATGAGCCTTTGTAAAAGGTGTCTGCAGGGATTCTTGCAGAGTGATGGGTTTAATTGATCACGGGAGCAAGCTGGATCTGGTCAGCGTGGTCAGCAGGAGCTCTGCCCTTTTATTTCTCCTGTGTTGTGACCCATGCTTCATTGTGGGTTATTGGGCAGACTATCTTGACATGGGGTTTGTCACCTTTATGGGGTGTGTGTGTGTGTGGGGGGGGTTTATTATTATTTTTTTAAATAGATGTATTCTTGCCAACAGCAAAAGTGTCTCATTAGCAACTGCAGCCAGGTCTGCCCTGGAAAGCTGGAGCTGCCCCGGCGATAGCTGCTCACTGTCAGGTCAATGCTCCTGATTTAAAATCACAGGTATAGGAGGTACATTCCATATAGGCACCTTTTGAAATAGAGGGAAGGAAAGAAGAGAAGAAAAAATACTAAAAATCTCTGCCTTGCTCTCTGCAAGGCAGAATAAAAATAGTGAAAAATATATGGATTACACTTAAACCTAGGTTTTCATTTCATTTTGTGACTAAATACTTGGCTAAGCAGCTAACCTGATCATTAAATAAATTTGACTCACTCGATTTAATGGTGGTGGTATGATGGCATCATAAAGACCCCTAGGGAAGAAACAAGGATTTTTTTTCATGACAAGAGTATTTAAAAGGATGGGGAGAAGCGGATGAAAGAGATCTAGCGAGCCCTGAAAGTGCAGAGCACTCTTCAGTGCTATGTTTGACTTCCTGATACTTGCAGTTGAATAGATATAGTTCACCTTAAATTAAATTCTATTTCAAAATCACCAGGGTCAAAACCTATCAAAAACAGTAGCGGTTTCAAAACTAAAAATCATATCCTATTCAAGAAATCATTTTTTCCCCCTTAAAGTTGTTGTTTTAAGAGATCTTTAAGTACCAAGAAGTGTTATACAGTGGTTTCCCCTATGAAAATACATGCACGACACATATATATTTGATAAAGTTGGTTTAACTCTCCAGTCAAGATTCTTATTAGGTTTTTTTTCTGTAAAATCCTGGGTACTGACTTGTGCATGTGCCACTACTTCTGAGTCTACTCGTGCTTCAAGGATTAAGATAAAATACGAAAAATCTCATGCTGAAGTCTGGCAAAATTATATTTAGTTTTCAGAGTGAAAAAGGGTTTTTTTCCTTCTTTTTTTCCCCCCATGGTCAAGTAAAATAAAGTGTTATTCACCTCCCCTTCTTTCCAAGTTGTCTTTCCTCTCTATGATCATTTATGGTTTTTGGTTTTGTTCTTTTTTTTTTGGCACTTGGACTGGGACATTCACAACAGCCTTTTAGACTGCTTCAATGCAGACAAAATAAAGTGGGAGAGATGTAGAGAAGTGCCTTTTAGTTCTTTCAAAGCATGACTCAAGCTTGGTTTCCAAACATCCAGGAGTCTTAAAACATCCAAAAACGGAGACTGGAGAGACTTTAGTACAACTGTCCAAATATCTTGCACATTAAAAACTAAATTGGAGTCTCTATAGTTCAGGATAGACTTCGGAGACCCCTGCCTTTCTCAGACAAAGTGTTCCTGGGTTTAAGAAGAGAGGTCCCAAACTATAAAAATGCCCAAGAAAGAAATAAAGTTTTGAACATTGCTTGCTTGCATGATGTGGCTGACTATCAAAATAGACTGGTGGTAAGAGATGTATAATATACAAAGAGAAAGAAAACAGCAAAAATAGAGAAAACTTCAAGAAATCCATCCAGCTAAAGCTATAACAATCTTAATAAAATGAGAGCATAAACTGGAGTCGATATAAAGTGAACTGAAGTGCTGTTAAAAATTTTCATGGGTTATAAATACTGTTATCACAAATGAAAATTATATTTTTTCTCAAAATTCCGTATGGTGTTAAATAGTTAACATCGTTTGCTTTATTTATCTAAAATTATGATATTATAAATATTAATGAAGAAATTAGTATCAGTACTTTTTTGTTACATACTTGCAAGAGAATTTACAGGACAAATTGGGAAAAAAAATAGTATCCAAAGTTGAGAGAGAAGCACTGGGAAGAATATAAAGCTTTAAAAACAGTGAGCAGTAACGAAAGATACAAGAGGAGAAAAATGTTATTTTAAAACTGTATAGTAAGCCTATTTATCTCATTTAGAGTAACAATAAAAAACTAAAAAGAATTAAGTCCCTGCTAACGAATTCAAGCAATGGAAAAATAGTCTAGAGTATGTATTTTGGTAGATTTAAAAATGCATAATAAAATAGTTTACAGAGATGATGATGAAAAAAAACCATGATTTGAGGAAAACCTTAGATAAAAGTCGGTTGAAGTAGAACGAGAGAAATTTGCAACGAGAAACTAAGAGCTGGGTACGTGTCAGAGGGAACCGAAACCCTCCTAAATCACGGGCTACAAAAAGAAAGCAAGCGCTTAAAATCAGACACATAAAACTGGAGCGATTGAACGCAAAGGTAGAATATCAAAGTAAAGAGACTTTTCAAACTTTATTGCTTCCCAGACCTTTAAGATAAATTTGCCGCAGGGATTAGAGGCGATAAGACTACAAAGACCCTTGGTGCCCCATAACGCTAAAACGCGATCTTTAAGCCCAAGTCATACAATGCAAATCAAACGCCCTGGAGAAGACAGTTAAATATTTTGGTCCTACCGAAATAGCAAGCTGTTGTTCTAGTCATCAGGCTCTAAGGAAAAATCAAAGCAGCTGCTCTCCCTTGCTCTGCTGATCTGCAGCGAGTACAGGCAAAGCTTTTGGAGCTGTTTGTAGTCCCCTTGGAGCGCAGAGCAGGCTGCTCTTAAATATCACCTCCTCCCAAAAGCCATGCAGAAGTATTTGCTCCACTTTAGCTGACAAACCGATAAGCAGGATGGGCAGCCTATGCTTTTTCTTGCTGAATTTCTTCTCTTTCTCTATGCTTTTCTTTTTCTTCTCGTTTTCCTCTTTTTTTTTCTTTTTTTTTCCTCTTTTTCTTTCTTTTTTTTTTTTTTTTTTTTTTTTTTTATTTGGTGGAAGGTTGACCCTCAGCCCCTCCTTCTCCCCTCTTGGAAAACCAAAGTGAAAGTCCGGATTCTGCGTTCTTTAGGCTAGGAAAGTTCTGGCTGCCGTCAGCAGTGGAAGGGCAGCTGGCTCTTCCACAGGTAGGAAGCAGCAGGGATCAGGCCAGCACCTAGGGAGCTGCTGGCAAAGCCCATCGTCCGTTTTTGGGCCCGTTCCTGCATGTTTTCCTACTTGACAGTCTCATTCCCTAGAAGGAGTGTTCCGATATTGTGATATATCTCTGGAGTGATGTGCTACATATGATATATATCATTATTATGATAAATGTGCGCTATCGGATGCTCCGCAGTTTCTGGAGGGTGATGACGGTAGGAGTTTTCCCATTGATTCATTCCACTCCTATGAGAACAATAGAGTGTAACAGTACAGAGGAGAAATACAGAGAAGAGCTGCTTTTTCTTTTCCTTTTTTTTTTTTTTGCTAGATAACTACCTGTACAAAACCAGATGGGTTTACCTAAATATGGACACAATTACAGCCGACACTTTAAATATCCCTCTGTAATTTCACATGGTTCGCAATACACTATCGAAATGTGCAGTTCCACAACAGTACACAAGGTTTTGCTGGATATTTTTGCAGCCATGTGTGTGTCACGTGTGCCACAAGGTTTCTTTTTATAATACCTGACAGTTCTGTAAAATGGAATCTATAGGAATAATTACTCATTAAATTTTTTAGTCTCTGACAAGACTGCCCAGATTTGCAGACTGATGAAGCAGAAGTTTTAGATGATAAATGGCAAAGCTGGATTGGCCAAGGCATTGGCCAAAATCAATGGATTTGGGAAGCTGAAGACTCAGACTTCATTCAGTGCCCCAGTGTGTATAAAAAGATGATTGGAAAGAAATATAAAGGCTGCTACATGATATGAAATAAATTTGTAGCTCTCAGCCTCTCTCAGTGTGAGTAACAAGCCATTTATACAGACACTGCTTCAGTCATCCTTCAAAATCACGTAATATAGCATTCCTTCTGGATTAGAAAAAATATATATATTTTTTTCTTTTATATGCTTGGCAAAATAGAGAAGAGCTGGAGAGAGAGAGAAGCTAACAAGATAACAGGAGCTGAGGATGCATGTTTACAAAATTACAAAAAACAAACGCAAAAATATGAGAAGATGAGAATTCCTAGTTAGAAACACTAGCTATCCAATTCATATATTGAAAAATGTCTAAAAATCAAAATATAAAAAGCAATGTTTTGCTATTTTTTACTACTTTGATTTAAGACACTAGAGCTTGTGCAGCTTTTTATATTTTTTTATTGTTTTAATTGAATGTTGCCTGGAATGTTGCATACTTGCATCAAATTTGGAAAGTTTTTTTTTGCTTTTTATATTTCATTGTGGCTATTTTTGAAAAAGGAACTAAGAATTTCTGGTCCACACCTTTCTAGCATGTTACCTATTTTTTTTGTTGACTGCAGGTATTTATTTGCTTAAATACTTTAAAATACTTTGCTTTAAAATGCTGTGCTCTTAGATGTGCCTAATTACCTGTCAGGGCTGATTTCCTATGAAATTTCTGTTATTAGCAGTATTGGAGCTATATTTCATAACTGTAAAGGAGAAAATGGCACGCTTATTTTTGCTCCATTTAGACTGAATTTCTCCATTTTGTAATGAGGATTATACATCAGCTGCCTTCTTTCAAAAAAAAATGAACACTTAATTAATCAATCATAGTGCCGCAATTTATCAGGAGTCTGGCACAAATACAAAAGGTAAAATTCTGAGGGGATGGGGAAAAAGTACATAAATGTATAGTTTTAAGCATGTAGGCAGTGACTGGTGAGATTATTGTGACTTCAAGGTGACAATGTGTGTATCTCCCAGATTTCAGGTCTTCTCTTTGAGGAGAGGCAGAAATCTAAAGCAGCTCCACTTAAGTCATAGTGAAACTATTCCAGCTTCACGTGGGGATGATTATGGATGGGGAAGAAGACTTGACCAAATGTCTCCTTTCCACGGGAGCTTTATAAACATAAAATCGATATGCAAAATTCTTGCCCTGTTGAGCAGTCTTTCTTCTTGCAGTAAAATGATAGCCCTAGTGAAGACTCCCAGCATTTAAATTAAATTCCACTGGGGAGAAAAGGGTTGTTAACGTCTTTTTGTTTCAGACTGAGTAACTTTATAAATCAAAGAAACCCTTCTGCACCCAAGATGTCTCTTGTGGAAAAAAAACTGGTGAAATGTGTTTTTCTACCCTTTGCCCTGATACTTTCACAGTAAAATCTCTTAAGTGCCTTTAAAGACGAAATAACCAAGGCTTGAGCATTTATAGCATAAACAGAAACAAAGATCCAACTGTGCTCTGCATTGGGAATGCTTCTTTAATGTCCTTTACTGAGACAATTATGTCCTGTTGTTAGTAAGGAATAATTGTGGAAAAATATGATCAGGAGAATTGCTATTGGGAAAGCAGCTGCTCACAATGCTTTGCTTGTAGTCCTTTGAATACTTAAGTGATACCTGCTAATTTCATGGGGAATGTATATAGATAATAGTATATGCATTTTGTGATGTCAATTTAGGAAACTCAGGCCTAATGAAATGTTGCACAATTCCATTTTTAGAGGCAGAAACATTAAGTACTGAAGGGTTTTTGGAAACGTTTGAGAAACATTTTGAGAAATATGTCATCTATATGAGAAATAACATCTCTATGTCAAATAGATGTTGAGGCTTGACCCAAGGCAATCCAGTGTTTGATCCTCTGAGCTTTTCCAAAGAAAATTTGGGGAGATGGCATCTGGGGAGACGGCATTATCCTCTGGGACAGCTTGGGATTCTGCTCTCGGGGTAGGGGGAAATGTACCCAGTGCTCAGAACTGAGATAAAAGAATAACTTTGTTGTCTGTGGGTTACCTCAACAGGTTTCAGAAACTAGAGGAAGGACCAGATCAAGATGAATGCAAGGTACAAAAACAGTGTGGTATGGAGGAGCTTGTAGAAGAAACCTAGGACAGTGAGAGGGAGATGGGCTGACATGAACATCATGTATTTCTGAGACTTTTGCTTCACTCCTGCAGGACGATGAAGACAAAATGAGGTACTTAGCAGTAGAACTGGTTGAATTTTAGGGTTGGGTGGGTTTCAGTTGTTAAAATTCATGTTTCTGGCTGGAAAAAAAAAAACCTGCATCCGATTTTTTATTTTTTAATTGAGAGGATTTCAATGAAAAAAAGGGGCTGATATCTGCAGAAGAGTTTACAGCATCCATATGTTCCTTTCTATTGAAAATGCAGCTCTTGTTTTTCTGTTTCAAAACTCCCAGTTCAAAAGCTTCTGATTTTTTTTTCCTGTTTTGAATGAAAAATAACTTTTAAAATTCCATTAAAAGAAAACCTATTTTTCAGACACAGCTGGTACCCGAACAAGGGCCAAATTCTGCTCTCAGCTTATATATTCCAGCCTCGAGGCACTGGGTTTGCATTTTGTTATATTGTAGACAATTATGGGATGCAATTAATTTTCTCTTAAAAAAAAAATTCCTGGGGATTTGTTCTGCAGAGCTTTGAAACAAAATGCAGCTGTCACTCTGCAGAGTAGTTTAACTTGTCAGAGATGATGCAGGAAAGCTGGGCTGCACTCGCAGTAGGAGCCATTGGTGCCCTGTGAAAAGCTTGGTGTGCTCGTGCATCTCTGGCTCTCTCTTCTCTATTTAATCTCAGTCATTGTTTCATTTTCTCACTCTGGACTGTTATATTTTCTATTGTTGTAAGTTTCCAAAAAAACAAATAGATTTATTTCTTGCATTTCCTTTCCTTTCCTTTATTTCTCCCTTCTTCCCACGGTTGGCACGCGCTGGCTTTTCTTCACCTCCTTCTGTACTATGACTTAAATGTGTTTTTCTCTGATGTTTATTCTTCCACACTTTTTTCCCCTATTCCATTGTTTCCCTTTCCTCTCTTTGATGACATGTTTTAAGTCTCTCTCCTCTGTACAGTTTTGCTTTGTCCACCTTTATTTTTTTTCATTATCCGTACTTTTTATTCCCTATCAGTTCCCTCCACCTTTGCATCCTCGTAATATCTTCATAATTCCTTCTGGCTCCTTCCCTCTACCCTCCATCACTGTTTCTTATCCCCTGACACATATAGTCACAAGACATCAGTCCCTTCCTGCCTAGATCCTGCTCTGCCCTGCACCTGGTACCCTCTTCACACAAACATCTTTCTGCAGATGTTATTACTTGCATTAGGACTGGGTGAGACAAGAGAAGGAGTTTTTCCTCCCGTTCCCCCGCAAGGATGTGGAAACACACTCCGTCTGTTTGCTATTTCAAAGAGGAATCTGCGCATCCATCATCTGCAATATTCGTTGCACTGTCTGCGACTAGTTGCACATCATATTTTTAACCACCATATCACACCTCAAAACGGGAATTGAGGTCTCTCATGGATGTGAGACCAAACTCCTCTTGGCAACATCTCTTTGACTTACGAAGTTCTGCTTGGAAGAGAGAAGGAAGGTTGGCCTCTCCATGTGTTGTCACATTTATGTGATGCAAGAATGCAGCCCTCCCCGCTTCCAGTTGCATGAGCTTTGGTCAGGAAACAATTGTTCTTCTGCAAGGTGGGGGGAAACAATGGCCCTATCTTTGCAACTTGGCCAAAGTTTTATTTTCCTTCA